CACAACAAATCGTTCTTTAACGTATCTAATTCGCTTTTAAATTTACTGATGTTTTCCATTTGTACTTCTTGCCACTGTTGTTGAGAAGAGATTTAATGTACTAACGCAAGAAATTTATCGTGAATGTGTTCTGTATTGTACCGTATGAAAACAGAGCACATATTTTCTGAACTGAAATCCTGAATTCTGTCAGTTTTCACTAAAAACATCACACTTTCCCTCACCTCATTTGCAACAATCTCCTGAATAAGCTGTTGAATTGTTTCAATAACAGAAACAACTGTTGTTTTAGAGAACAAATTTATGGGGGATTCTCTATTATGACCTACGGAAAATTAGTTAAAGCACATACAGCACTTGCTTATCACTTTAAAAATGTATTTCACCTACTACCGCACTTTCCACCTCTTATGCACTTGTTCTCCGGGTACAGAAATTTGATTATGAAATAGTAAATTATCTATATCTGTGCTGCTGGATTTCAAAAGTAAGCTTCTTCATAGCCTCTGTGCACGAAGTTTCATGTTTTTTTAATCTCTGAAGGCAGCATCTCTGTCCTCTCATTTTTGAAATAAACGTTTCAGTTTCTTAACTCTTAGAAAATACAGCATTTTGTTCCGCACAGTAGGTCAGTCGCTTGCAATTACTTCTAACCTTTCGAATAAATCTTTCTTTATTACAGGATCACTTATGTTTTGTTTTGAGAGATAATTAAAAAGAAGATGAGTTAATGTTTATCAACTAAAATTTTTGTTTGTGAAATTTCGCGCGAAGCTACTCGCTAACCGTTCCTAATTTTGAATTGAAAGACTAGAGGGAAGTCAGCTAGTCATCATTACCTACCACCAACTCTTGGACTCTAATCGAATAGTGTGATTTGTTTGTCTCTTTGATAACGCAACAACGACCTCGAGGTGCAGAGGAAGAAGTTACTACAAGCAAGGATACGTGTTGCAGTATTTTTTAAATTAAAGTTGATGAGAGCGAAGGGAACTCAGTTGGCTCGGTATTTAATTATTTTATTCATTCGCTCGTTCGTTTTAGAGAAAAGCCACTTTGGGCTATTTGCTTTGTTCAACGCGGAGAACTGAACCTAAATTTTAACGTTGTAAGTCCGTACACTTACAGCTGTCCCACCAGGAGACAAAACAACTGTACGTCGTCAGGCATTGTTTGTTTGTAATTAAGCACAAAGCTACACAATGGACTATCTGTGCTCTGCCCACCACGGGTATCGAAACCCGTATTCTAGCGTTTAAGTCCGCAGACATACCGCTGTGCCACTGGGGGGGGTCGTTAGGGAAACAGACTAATAATTTTATTTTACGTGAGTTTTTAACATAGTGAGTTACTTGAAGTTTTTGTTATTTCATGAGAATAAATAGGCACAATAAGGAAAACATTTTTTTTTTTTTATGATGATCGGGCCACTAACCGTTGAGGGCACTAGCCCTCTGCCACATAACAGATTAAACAGAGCTGCCAGAATACCAGTTTGGATCTGTTGAAGGTCAAGCTTAAAATCACCTTGAGAACTGGCACTTTTTAATTCAGCAGGTCGAAATCGTTGGAAATCATCAGGTTTCTAAATGTTCACAAGAAATGCTTTAACAAATCTTTTTTTTTTTCTTCTGAAAATGAAACAAAACTATACGTTTCACACGTATATGACATTGAGCATTACACAGTACAATGACTCGAAATTAACAAGAAATTTTTGACGTCACGTGTCTTACGCAAGTGCAATGATGCATTCATATTCTGTTATGCTTCTTGAACTTGAAGTTCGGAAGTTTCTATTCGTATTGTAACTTAATTCGTTTAAGCATATTTGATTGTTCTTATCTACTTTCCACCCTCCTTAAAATCACTACTCGTAGATGTCACCACATGCAAATAATATTGCATGTTGTAACTTACGTTGACCTTTTAAGGTTAGTGGTTGTCTTATGACTTTGTGTTTTAGCGTATTTAATTTTAATACTATAACATATGATATTGCTATAGTTTATATTACAGAGCTTATAAGGAGCAACTGAACTGATGTTAAATAGTTTATTGTGCAAATCACAACCTTTGTTGTTTTTTTTTGTGTGTGTGTGATATTGTGCAGGTGACTCAAGATTTTAAGTTGTAATTGTATCACTGCTCTGTCGGTTGTTACTAGCCGCTATCAATTTCATGTAATTGAGTAATTGTACAATTTTTGTCACTTACAAGATTCAGCACACAAAAACTGGTAAGTAAATGAAGGAATGGGTAAGTAAATTAGATTTTGCATATAATTTTTAAATCAATTGATTGTTAGAACACACATAATTCTTGGAAAAAATAAGTTTATTTACCTATAAATATAATACTTAGGTTTTGCAGCTTTTCGTTTTATATTAAAAATTAAATGGGAAATACTTGTAGTATGAATTGTAAAGCAATGAAACTAACACCGTGACAGGTATAACTATAAGCCTAAATCTTGGAGACAAACTCAGAATAATTTTTCTAGCAGATTAGAAGTAGCTTAATTAACTGGTGCTGTAGGAGACATCTATTGCTATGGTACAATTAAATCAAAATAAAAAAAGGGAAGAACTTGTACCGCATATATATATATAAAAAAAAAAAAAAATCATAAAGGGACATTTTTAATGTTCACTGTGTTTTAGTTTGGGATGATGACTTATTAACTAATAGATCCAAAAGAAGGTTGTCTACACCCAAAAAGTTGTGAACATTAAAAACATCTGTTTATCATTTACAGTTGTTTGTGATATAATAAATTACATCTGTGCTTCTTACTTGCAAAGGGGCCTCAGAATCCGAGTACTTGGCACCCTATTCAACCACCTTTGTTGCATAGTCTTAACATTGGGCCAGGTTGCTAATCACTTAGTGTGAATAGAAAGTTCTGTCTTAATTTATTATACCATAAACAGTTGTAAGTGATAAATAGATGTTTTAAATGTTCACGGGTGAGATGCCCATCTTCTAAGTTCTGGTGATTTAAAATTTTGAATTGGATGTGAATAACTGGCAGATAGCTAAATAAATAAATGCTGGTGGCTTCAGTAAACGTAAAGGAATTGAAGGGAAGGTTTGATAAATATTCAAATAATTGGGGTAGAATTTGAGTTTTTTTGTTTTTTTAAGTGAATGGGACAACTTTGATGGACAAACAGGTCATTTGTTTTTAAATGTTATTAGCTCTTTTGGATTTTCTAATTTCTTTCTAGTTCTTTAAGTCTTCTAACTTGTATGTCAGTTTAAAGTTCTTAAACTTCAGGCATTAATCCTTGATTTTATATTTTTAGGAATATGCTTATCTTGAATTAAAAGCAACGTATGTGAAAAATGTATAAATGCCAATCCCTAAACACTGTTTAATTCTTTATTCTAGTTCACAAATGTTGAATCTTGTTTCATGGCCTAAACAATGATCTCATAAAATTAGAAATAAAAATTTTACTTTCACCTTCACACTTAACAAACCATAAAATCTAATTAAATAATGATCGCTCTTGCAACTGTAACTTCTTTAGTGGTTAATGATAAACCTAAAAATCACATTCCCAATGGTTCTTCAAAGATTTGGTATAGAAAACCTTTCTGAATCTGTTTAAGAAACCTCTCTTTCACTATTTTAACTTCAAATAATTTCAATCAATATGTCTAACTTTAAAGTATAAAATTGTTTTCTCTTGAGAAAGAAGTTACAGTCAATCTGATTGATTTCATGAAGATTATGTCAATCATCATACTTAAGTTAATATTGAGAATGGTGGATTTAGGAAACACAAACATACATTTTGATAGAGTAGGATTCATCTTCAGTTAAGAGAATTTGATTTTTCCACCAAATTAGTTTGTCCCTTGGGTTGGGTTGTTTTCAGGTGTAGGTGAAGTAAATTTAGAGGAGTTTAAGGGAAAGCTTGATAAATATTGAATGATAAGGGCTGGCTATGAGCTTTTATTTGTTTTTTAAGTTTAGTGCAGTGGTTCTCAAATGTTTCAGGGTTGCATTCAACTTTTTCTTTAATTTTTTAAAATGACAAACCCAGGCCTAACTTTAAAAACAAAGCAAAAACTTTTAACAAAAATTCAAATTTTAAACACTTACCCATTAATGCAAAGGATGCAATTGTTTTTTATGGCACAATTTTGTCAATTTGAAGGGAAGAAAATATCTGGCAAGTCTATGCAATGAGAGGGTGAGTCTATAAGTGAGGAGAGTAGTATGTATATGTACGTGGAAAACTCGGATAGGGCTTATTAGCAATTTTATGACTTTTTAATGTTAATTGTGTTGTGTACCACTGACATTAGCTTCACGTACCACCAGTGGTACATGTACTACAGTTTGAGAATCCCTGGTTTAGTGGATGGGACCGTCTATGTGGATGTCTCTTGTAGTTTTTAGATTATAATTATTACATCAGTATTTTTATTAGTAAGAACCCTGATCTTGTTGCATAATTTCTCAAGGATCTTATCTTATTTGTCTGGTTAGGTGACTTTTAACAACTACCTATTAAAAATGTTCCATCCTTATGGAATGTTTGATTGTAACACAAAGAGATTCAATTTCTTGACTACCATTTATGCCTCATTTTTAATCTCAATAAATTGCAGCACATCCCTTGTGTACAACCCCCCCCCCCCCAAAAAAAAAAATTATATCTTGATTAAATAACTTAGAACCTGGAATTTCAAAATAGTTCATGTCATCAAGTTTCAACAATTCTCATTATATCACTCGGCCATTTTATACACAATACTCTTAACATAATAATAATAACAGGTAATCTTATTCCTGAATCCAATAGGTTTACCTTTGAAGTTGACAGAGTTATTATTAAAATTAAATATATTATTTAACTTCCCCGGATTTCAAAAATTAATTTTGATACTCATGGTGGAACAGCACATATAACCCATTGTGTACTTTGTGATTAGTAACAAATAAATTATTTAACTTGTTATGCTCCATTCTCCTATTTTCAAATTAGATGTTGCACCTAGCTGTCCAATCAGTTTTTTTTATTCTCAACTTTTCAAACTCCCTTACCACTATGGGAAATTAAACTATCATTACTTGAGATGGAAATAATTTTTGTCATTTGCATATCAATTCTCCAATGCAAAATCCAATTTGTACAGCAAAATTTAGGATTTGTGTATAAATTTATAAATATACTTCTTAAATTAATCAAATTATGCATTGGCAAATACCATCATTGAAGTCATTTGTACATTAAAAATGTCAAAAGATTTATTTGACATGTTTCATATATCACTTGCTGTTTTTTTTAATAGCTTAATTTGAATATGAATCAACAGAAAACCCATAGTTACTGTAGTTACAAAACAATTGAGCTAAATCTAATAAAGATTTACTTGCTCTGCTTTCTTAAGAGCAAAGTGTTTTGAAATATAAGCTTGTAACAATACATCTACTGTATGTAAATAGCCTGCCTCATTCACTGATAATGAAAATACTAAAAATTATTTTAATGTTCTCCCTTTTAAGAAAAAATTACTTATGATTCTGTAATAAATTTTATGTGAAATTAACATCCACGGAAGGTTTACTGTGCATGTTTGAAAGTACAACCTTTCTCTGTTCTAAAATCTGTAGAAAACATTTAATAATGGAGAACTTTGCTAATGGTTTATAATATGCACTTCATTGACTAAAGGATTTTTTTAGAAATAGTTTTAGATGCTTCTTATACAACAGAATTTACTGCTTTACCTTAGATAATTAGCTCCCTTCAGTATGATGGATACTGTGGTCACCTTTTATCTTTAGTGAATACTTCTTGTTAATGGATATAGCCTATTATTTAAGTTCTGCTGTCTCATACGAAAAATCTACATAGTATTCCACAAAACATATGATACCTTATCACCATAAAACTGAATGCTGCTTTTTTTTTTTGCCAACATTTAGCATATAGAAAACTTGTATAACAAGGTGGAAGTGAAGCATGATTTCATGATTAGGATATAAAGTATACTCTTGATACCCCTGTTATAGTAATTTTATTCTGATCTATAATCAAAATGTATAACTTGTGTAGATTTTCTCTTTTGAGGATTTCTGTGAGAACCACAAGATTTTGCAGAAGACCACCTAATTGATGGTCCAGTATCTTTTCTCCTAGTCTTTCTCCAGTCAGTTTTAACACACTGAATGACTGAGAAGGATCACTCTAATGCTGTGTTGCGTCAGTGAGGTCACGTGACTAGTATCACGCCACGTCCTTCTCGAACCTTCTTGAATTATCGAGAGACTAATAGATTGGGGGTAGTCTGGTATATATAAGATGGTCACAACGTGACGGAACAATGAGTAATTGAACTGCAGTCAGAGAGTGTGTAATTGAACTGAGTATTATTGAAGTCGAGCACGTGAGACGTTCGTTGAGAATTATAGCGCAACTGTTGAAATTAAGTGTATTGCAAAGTTATATTCAGAAAGAATAAACCAGTTTTATTTAAGAAAGGACTTGTGCCGCTAAAGTTTCGTCGGAACGAATTTACGGAAAATTAACTAACGAATGGAGACGTAACAGCTGCATTGGACATTGGTATCACTTGAAGATTTGCAGAACATGACTTGTGAATGCCAATCATCCTTTTTCAGAGAATTCATTTTTTCTTTTACAAATGTCTGATACTTCTAAACCTGAAAATTTTAAGTTCATTCCATTCAGAAAGGGCTTTTTTAGCATTTACATGCACACTCCTCATTACCATTCACTTGTTATACAATAATTAGTCAGTTTCACAACAAACAAAGAACATGAGTAGTCATTATGTCAACCAATGTTTATTAAATTTCACTTGTTATACAATAATTAGTCAGTTTCACAACAAACGAAGAACATGAGTAGTCATTATGTCAACCAATATTTATTAAATTTCACTTGTTATACTATAATTAGTCAGTTTCACAACAAACGAAGAACATGAGTAGTCATTATGTCAACCAATATTTATTAAATTTCACTTGTTATACAATAATTAGTCAGTTTCACAACAAACGAAGAACATGAGTAGTCATTATGTCAACCAATGTTTATTAAATTTCACTTGTTATACAATAATTAGTCAGTTTCACAACAAACAAAGAACATGAGTAGTCATTATGTTAACCAATGTTTATTAAATTTCACTTGTTATACAATAATTAGTCAGTTTCACAACAAACAAAGAACATGAGTAGTCATTATGTTAACC